ATATTGACAGTTCACCTCTAATAGTGTGATATTGACAGTTTATCTCTGATAGTGTGGTATTGACAGTTCACTCTGATAGTGTGATATTGACAGTTTAGCTCTGATAGTGTGATATTGACAATGTGATAGTGACAGATGAAAAAAGAAAACCTTTAATTACAAATCCATCTGAATCTTTAATGAATCTAATTTAATAATTTCATATTTTATAACTGAATGTAATTTAATAAACTCATAAATCCAATCCGTTTGAATTTAATTTAATAATTTCATACTTTATAATTATTTTGAATTATTTTAACAAAAAATTCCGAATTCTTTTCCGCTAATTCAAAATTAATTTGTTTATTAATTGTAAAAAAAGAAGGATCATTAATATTATTTACAGATAATTTAATTATTTCATTTCCTATTGTATTACTGTTTGAATTATTACAATAATTCTGTATTTTCTTTTCTTATTAATTCAAAATTAACTGCTTATTTTATTGATTGCAAAAATGAAAACAGAAAAAAAAATGTTTTTTAGAAGGTTCACCAGATGATGTCACTTTCTCGATGGAAGTATTACGAGCAACAGCTGAATCACTTTTTCGAGAACGACAAGAATCAATGAAACATTCATCATCATCATCATCAAAAGAAATTGATAACACTGATAATAATGCTACTGCAAATAATGATTTGAATAATTTAACATATTCCACTAATTCTGTAAATAGGTATCAATAATTTTAAATATTTTCATTTTTATATTTCAAAATATTTAAATTATTAATTTTTATGAAATATTTTTTTTAATGTTTTTATAAATTTTTTTATGATTTTTTAAAAAAATTTAAATTTTCATTAATTTAGCTCAATATCATCGGATATATCATTACCATCATGGATTGATCCATTGCAAATATTTTATACGGGTGATGATCCATTATGTGATTTTATATTGGAAGGATTAGGTCTTGGTAATGCAGAATTACCACTTATTGTTATTTTGGATGCAACAATTAGTCGAATGTGTATTTGTGAAAAACCGGATGTTAGTAGTGAAATTATTGCTAAATTTGTGGCTGATTATAAGAATGGAAAGCTGAATATGGTACCTTTACCAACAACATGTCAGGTAATTTTTAAATAAAAATTTTTTTTGCTATGACATTTTTTTTATTTGTAAAATATTATTTTGTTTAGTTTTCTTTAAAATTAGACAATTTCGGAAATAAATTCTGTGAGATCTATGGGAAGAAAAAAAAAAGAAAAGCAAAAAGAACAAAAAAGAAAAAGAAAATACAAAAAAAGGGAAAGATAAAGATTTTTTGTTATTAATTCAAATTTTATTTTTGTAGTTTTTTTTTTTAAATTCAGAATAATGCTCAACCAACTCGATATGGTAGTATTCCAGCTCAGGCTGTACATCAAGCATTAGGTATTGGTAATGGTCAATCAACTAATTCAATTTTAAATGAAAATCAATCAACAATATCAAGTGATCAACAGATACCTATTGTTCTTTAAGCATATTCT